CTATCTTAAACTCTCATTTTCTCCGTCACCTTGAACGCTTTTCTCTTTTGTCGGATCACCGGTATGGCTTTCGCCAGGCGAGATCTACTGGTGATCTGCTCTCCTACTGCACCCATCTTTGGTCATCCTCTTAGGGGTTATGGGGAAACTTTCGTCGTGGCCCTCGACATCTCAAAGGCATTTGACAAGGTATGGCACAAGTCTTTACTTTCTAAACTTCCCTCATATGGTTTCTCTCCTCTACTTTGTTCACTAATCTCTAGTTTCCTTGAGAACCGATCCATGACAGTTGTTGTCGAGGGATCGATCTCTCTTTCTTTCTCTACCAATAGTGGTGTCCCACAGGGTTCTGTTCTTATTACCTACTCTCTTCCTTCTTTTTATCAATGATTTACATCACACTACAACTAACTCTATCCATTCTTACGCTGATGACTCTACTCTTCATCTTCTTCACATTTTCCCTTCCTCCTAACTCTCAAACTAGATCTGTTTCAAGAGCTGATATTACATCTATCAATGCGGATCTGTGCAGCATCTCCGAATGGGGAGGTAGAAACTTGGTGAAATCCAATAGTAATAAAACTCAGTATTTACCAATTACACTTTCCAAATTAGATGATCTCCCACCAATCACATTTCAGGACGCAATCATTCTGCCAAATTCTAAAATAGATATGCTAGGCCTCACCATTTCCTCTAATATGCCACGGAAGCCACACATCCTTAACACTGCTAAAGCTGCCTCCCAAAAGCTGGGAATGCTGTACATTACTTCACTCCTGAGTTGTTTCAAGTATATAAGGATTCATCCGTCCTAACTTGGAGTACTGCTCTCATATCTGGGGTGGCTCTTCTTCTGTCCTACTGTTAGATAGGGTGGAATCGGTCATTTCGTCTTATTAATTCTCCTCTTTTAGTTGACAATCTTAACCCCTTTCTCTTCGCCGCAATGTTGCTTCACTCTCTCTCTTTTACAGGTACTTTAACAGACAATGTTCGGTGGATTTGGCATCCTGTGTACTGCCGGCAAGGCCGTGGGTTCGTAACACACGTCTTGCCCGCGGTGCCCATTTCTCTCTGCGGATGTCGGTCACACAAGAATAACTCGTTATAGTACATCCTGCTTTCCTCACACAGCCAAACTGTGGAAAGCTCAGCCTTCTTCTGTGTTCATACAATCTGTCTCACATCAAAAAGCTGGTTTTCCGACATCTTCGTAGCGTGAGAAGAGTGTTATCCAGTGTGACCCTCACTACTAAACACCACAGGTTCTCCGGTCCGTGGTTTCCTCCTGTACTAACACTGGACAGACCGCCCAAGCGGCTAAAAGCTGATACGTGGCGAATATGATACAAAAATAATAAAACCTATTCCTTTTCTATATTTAGTTATTTTTACTCTTATTTTTTCGACCCCTAGGCCCCGTTGTGGGTCGATCACCAGCCCGTAAAAACAAAAACAAAAAACAGAAGCACCATAGTAGCGTTATATCAAGGAATATCATAAGGAACTATAACTCCCCTTTATTTTCTTCAGACCCCCAACACTGGCGCTGTCTTGCCTAACTAATCTATTAACATTCTTTTCATCAGTTTTCGAATCGGTGGACGAGGGGCACAATTATGATGTGGTATATCTCGACTTTAGCAAAGCCTTCGACAGAGTCCCCCACGAAAGACTAATTAGAAAGGTAGAAGCTCATGGCATCAAAGGTGACATCCTTAAATGGATTAGGGCGTGGTTACAGGACAGGAAACAGCGAGTGAGCATTAATGGCACAAAGTCCCATTGGAGCAACGTCACAAGTGGAGTTCCCCAAGGCTCAGTACTTGGACCATTATTATTTATTATATACATAAACGACATAGATATCGGCATAGACAGCAACATAAGTAAATTTGCTGATGACACTAAAATAGGACGTGTTATTAAATCTGACGAGGACTCGGCAAAACTACAGGAAGATCTAAACAAATTTTTCGAATGGTCTGAAAATGGCAGATGAAATTCAACGTCGACAAATAAAGTACTCAGTATAGGAGATGTAAACAGGAAACCAGATACCAGATGAACAACGATGCCATAATCCGACTGCGAGAGAGATTTAGAGTATTGATAAGTAGGAACCTAAGCCAAGTAAACAATGTGTTTTTGCTCGTAACAAGGCTAATAAAGTACTGGGGTTCATACAAAGGAGTGTTAGTTACAAGACTAGCGAGGTCATCCTAAAACTGTATCTTGCTCTTGTGAGACCACACCTGATTACGCAGTTCAGTTCTGGTCACCGTATTACAGAATGGATATAGAATCCTTGGAAAGAATTCAGAGGAGAATGACAAGACTAATCCGGGCATTAGGAACCTTGAGTATAGAGACAGGTTAAAGCATCTTAATTTGCACTCCCTTGAGAGACGTAGAGCGAGGGGCGACCTGAGGTGTATAAGTGGAAGGCAGGGCTAAACAAAGGGGACATTACAAAGGTACTCAAACTATCCAACCAGGAGGAACTCGCAACAATGGTTTTAAATTAGACAAATTTAGATTTAGGCGTGAAATAGGTAAACACTGGTTTGAAACAGAGTAGTGGATGAATGGAACAAGTTACCAAATATCATCATTAACTCGAATACGCTGAATAGCTTCAAACATAGGTTGGATGCTTATATGAGCAATAGGGGTTGGGTGTAAACGGGACTGCTCAGTATGGGCCAATAGGCCCGCTGCAGTTTCCTCCATTCTTATGTTCTTATGTTCTTATGTCTATTGGACAAGCCAGAAATCATAGAAAATTTTCATTGGTTTTCTCGAGAATTTTTTAACGGTAACTTTAGCATTTCTCACTAATTTTACAATACTGCTTCAATGTTTAGTTTTAGTATGACACAGTCGCCTCCACTTCCAATACATGTCTGCAGATACTGAATAAAATTCTTTATTAATATTACACAGATGAAGAAGATTACGTCGTGAACGGCTTTAATGATGTAGTTTTTAGTTTTACTTTTATCCTCTTCATCAATGATCGGCTCGTTAGCCGCTTGGGCGATCGGTCACGTCTCTGTTAGGCACTGTTGGCAAGCACTGGGCATGTACTGGCTCCTGAATATATCTGAACCTACTCCAGCGTTGGTCAAGTCTGGTCTTGAAAGAGCTCACACTCGGTGCCGTCACAACACTTTCTGGTAGATTGTTCCAAGAGTTCCCAACTCTCAGTCCGAAAAAAATTTGCCCTCACAATTTTCTGGACCTGCGGCTTCGTCAACCTTGTGCTGTGACCTCTTGTGGGGCGAGCGTCCGCCAGTTCCAGGTAAAGACACTCGACTGAGTAGTGCCCCTCGAGATGCTTATACACCTCAATTAGGTCGCCCCTTGCGAGCTCTTTCAAGACCAGACTTGACCAACACTGAAGAAGGTTCAGATACATTCAGGAGCCGGCACATGCTCAGTACTTGCCAACAATGCATAACAGAGACGTGACCGATCGCCCAAGCGGCTAACGAGTTGATCACTAGTGAAGAGGATAAAGCAAAGTAAAGCTTGTAGTATAAGCTAGACAAGTTCAGGCGCTCCAATCTCAGGGTAGCTGAGGTGCCGAAGGGCAGGCACCAGTCTGGTGGCCCTCCTTTGAACATTTTCAATCAACTGACAGTCTCTAGCATATCTCGGGGACCAAACGGGGTGACAGTACTCCAGATGGGGAAGCACTTCATTCTTGAAGATCGTTACGAGGGACGGACCGTCTAGATATCTAAACGACCTTCTTACAAGACCTAATAATTTATTTGCCTGATTTACCTTCTTCTCACAATGGCCAGAGAATTTCAACTCATTGTCATCACACACACCTAGGTCCTTCTCACATTCAGTCTCAAATAGTGCAGTTTCTTCATCCCGTTGGGACATATGATACGCGTCCTTACCGTTGGTACGCCCCAGGTGCATCCTCTTACACTTCATGACATTGAATCTCAGCAGCCATTTCTTCGACCATTCTTGGAGCTCACAGAGGTCCTTCTGCAGCTCTTCACAGTCCGCTTGGCTCTTTATTTCTCGAAATAACTTGGCGTCATCTGCAAACAACAGCGGGCCCAATATATTGCCCGCTTGTGACAGGTACAGATAATGATTTCATGCCATTAACCGCCACACACTGCTTGCGGTTATGTAGAAAGTCTTCTATCCACGCTAGGACTTTTCCCCGAATTCCGTACCCTTCCAGTTTGATTTTCAGCCTTTCATGGGGTACACTGAGACAATAACAGTGACGTAAACTGTCCTTGTTGACCCCCACAACAACTATCACGGGGAGGCAGGTCCCAGGATAATGGGAGGGCAGGTGGAGGAATTGATCCATCACGACTGATCCACATGTTGAGGATCATTATGGATGACGTGGTTCAGCGCCTCCAGACGTGTACTGTACTACTAGAGTAACTAGACTGACGCTCAATCATTACTGTAACTCGTACATCTAAATATAAACTATTAAATTGTCTTAGTTTGTTGTATTCAATAATAAAACAAGTCACGATGATAGTGCTCGGTCGCCAAGGTGTACTCAACGCCGCGCTGGTACTCGTGGGCCCTGGTGGTCCAGCAGGAGATACAGAAGTTCACTGTCATGTCTATTACGTAATGCAATGCGATTAATTTTTCCAGATATTTTCGTGGACACGGGAAGGTCGCTGGCATGAACAAAATTATTTAACTCTGGGATATACTTATTCTTATTTACTGTCTTATATCGCGGCTTAAAGTTAAACACACCAGCTGTGGTGGCGGTGTACTGTAGATCTGCAGACGGCACGCTAGACTTGACGGTGATGCCAGTATGCTTTTATCTTAACTATTACAAAGGGACTGTTAAGCAATGTTACCTTCTTAAAGCACTAATTCTCGGGAAAGAGAAAGAAATTGTAGTTTCTGTCATAAAGCAGGAACATAAAACCTGTACGAAGTGCTATAACAAGTGTCGTTTTATTTAGTATGTGGTGCAGCTTGTAGGTGGTGCCAGCGGCTTCCCTCCCATCCCTCACACACAATAGGCTGAGCAAAACAACCCGAGTCAGTTTCACTCGACATGTGCTCGTTGTGAGGTGCCGTGTAGGTAAGTTATCATTGGTATGTTGTCTTTACGCAGTGTTATAAGTAACCAGTGAACTCTTGTTATCCCTGTGTATATTTTCACTTATCTTGTAGTTATCAAGTGAATGCGACACACGGTTCACGGACTGTAATGCGTTGTTAGGTTTCCCATGTAAGACTATACGAGTGTTGTAGCAAGTCATCCTTAGTCGTTTAGTTATTCGAAAATAAGAAGTTCGTAAGCTAGTCAATTATTTCGATCCATCAGGGAACAATGGGTGTTTAAAGGAGCCACGCACCAACCTCCTTGCTCCATCGTAGTTGTACATTAACATAATATAGTGACCAACAGCCTCCTACGTTAATAGTTGAATTGTAACAGTTTATTTAGCCAAAAATAAAAATTCAGATACAGAGTGGATAATAATAACAATATTAATATGGCTGAGCCAGTTGAGAACCTGAGCTCTCTTTGAGGCACCTGATATATACTATACATTTATCTCATGAAGTATTGTGTAACATTTAGTATCATCGGGAATAGTACAATAGCATGGTGGTAATAAGTACATCTCATAATGTTACCACGGTTATCACATCAATATTTATTTATTTTATTATTTATTATTTTTATTTTTTTATTTTTTTATTAGTTTTATTTATTTATTTATTTATTTAATTATTTATACATACATATACACACCTTTGTGCCATCACTGATGACCCTTCACAGTATTATCTCCCTCAAGTAGGTAATGAACTCTTCACAATGATTCGCCCAAGTTTTAGAAATATTTAATTATTCCAACGTTTAGAGGAGGCAGTTTATTAAGAAGGTCGTTTAAACTAAGTGTTGAGTTTAGTGTTTATGATGTTTCTTTAACAGGGATTAGCCCACCCAGGAACAGGTCACTGACCCAAATCGGGGACGAGGGGGCGAAAATAATAATAATAATAATAAATAATATTAATAATAATAATAATAATAAATGATGATGATGATGATGATGATGATTCGTAATAAATATAATTTATAATAAAAATACAAAATTAAAAATAAAATAATAAAATAACGATAACAACAACAACAATAATAATAATAACACTGTAATAATAAGAATAATAAAGAAAAAATACAAAAGACAAAAATAAATAAGTAGTGAGAAACGATATACAGTTTGTATGTTGTGTTGTTAATAGTAAGAGAAACAATTGAGACCCTGCCATTGTGCGTAAATGAGGCACAGAAAGCCAGATCAGCAACCTGGAACTTAGGTCTGAGCTTTACAGTGTTAGAGACAGTGTAAAGCAACACAAGGAGGCAATACGTCTGGCACTGCTGTCAACAATATTTACGTACAGGTAAGCCCTACCCTGGCCACGGTAACATGAGCTTAAAACAACTAAAAAATCTTAGTGTTTGTTTTATTATTATTATTATTATTATTATTATTATTATTATTATTATTATTATTATTAGTATTATTATTATTATTATTATTATTATTATTATTATTATTATTATTATTATATTATTATTATTATTATTATTATTATTATTATATTATTATTATTATTATTATATTATTATTATTATTATTATTATTATTATTATTATTATTATATTATTATTATATTATTATTATTATTATTATTATTATTATTATTATTATTATTATTATATTATTATTATTATTATTATTATTATTATTATTATTATTATTATTATTATTATTATTATTATTTTTATTATTATTATTATTATTATTATTATTATTATTATATTATTATTATTATTATTATTATTATTATTATTATTATTATATTATTATTATTATTATTATTATTATTATTATTATTATTATTATTATTATATTATTATTATATTATTATTATTATTATTATTATTATTATTATTATTATTATTATTATTATATTATTATTATTATTATTATTATTATTATTATTATTATTATTATTATTATTATTATATTATTATTATTATTATTATTATTATTATTATTATTATTATTATTATTATTATTATTATTATTATTATTATTATTATTATTATTATTATTATTATTATTATTATTATTATTATTATTATTATTATTATTTTTATTATTATTATTAATATTATTATTATTAAATATTATTATTATTATTATTATTATTATTATTATTATTATTATTATTATTATTATTATTATTATTATTATTATTATTATTATTATTATTATTATTATTATTATTATTATTATTATTATTATTTTGTTTTATTATCATCATCATCATCATCATCATCATCATCATCATCAAGGTATAAGGAAATGAAATAACCTTGACTTATCGCCTTTGCAGAATTATCTCCAAGATGTCTAGTCTGAAGAGTTACGACAGCAAGGACCAGCTGGTGAAGTACACAGTGGACCACTCCCTAAGGTGAGCACTGTACACCAACACCTCCACCCTCCCCTACATACTCTTCCCAACACCTCTACCCTCCCCTACATACTCTTCTCCCAACACCTCTACCCCTCCCCTACACCTCTACCCTCCCCTACACCTACCCTCCCCACATACCTTCCCAACACCCCTACCCTCCCTACACCTCTACCCTCCCTACACCTATACCCTCCCTACACTTCTACCTCCCTCACTCTCCCAACACCTCTACCCTCCCCAACACCCCACCTCCCTACATACTCTCCCCAACACCTTTACCCTCCCCTACACCTCTACCCTCCCTACATACTCTCCCCAACACCTCTACCCTCCCCCCACACCTCTACCCCTCCCTACACCCCACCCTCCCCTCAACTCTCCCCAACACCTTCCCTCCCTACACCTCTACCCCTCCCCTACACCTCTACCCTCCCCTACATACTCTCCCCAACACCTTTACCCTCCCCTACACCTCTACCCTCCCCACATACTCTCCCAACACCTCTACTCTCCCTACACCTCTACCCTCCCCTACATACTCTCCCCCAACACCTCTACCTCCCCTACACCTCTACCCTCCCCTACATACCTCCCAACACCTCTACCTCCCTTACACCTCTACCCTCCCCATACTCCCCAACACCTATCCCTCCCCTACACCTCTACCCTCCCCACATACCTCCCAACACCTCTACCCTCCCTACAACTCTTCCCAACACCCTACCCTCCCTACACCCCACCCCCCTACACCCTACCCTCCCTACATACTCTTCCCAACACCTCTACCTCCCCTACACCTCTACCCTCCCCACACCTATACCCCTCCCTACACTTCTACCCTCCCCACATACTCTCCCCAACACCTCTACCCCTCCCAACACCTCTACCCTCCCTACATACCTCCCAACACCTCTACCTCCCCTACACCTCACCTCCCTACATACTCCCAACACCTCTACCCTCCCCTACACCTCTACCTCCCTACACCTCTACCTCCCCTACTACTCCCCCCAACACCTTTACCCTCCCCTACACCTCCCTACACCTCTACCTCCCCTACATACCTCCCCAACACTTACCTCCCCTACACCTCTACCCTCCCCTACATACTCTCCCCAACACCCTACTCCCTACACCCCACCTCCCCTACATACTCTCCCCAACACCTCTACTCTCCCACACCCCACCTCCCTACATACTCTCCCCAACACCTCTACTCCCTACCTCTACCCTCCCTACATACTCTCCCCAACACCCATACTCCCCCCTACACCTCTACCCTCCCTACATACTCTCCCAACACCTCTACCCCCCCCTAACCTCTCCCTCCCCACACCTCCCCCAACACCTCTACCCCCATACCTCCCTCACACCTCTACCCTCCTACCACCTCCCAACACCTCTACCTCCCCTACACCTCTACCCTCCCTACATACCTCCCAACACCTCTACTCTCCCCCACACCTCTACGCCCCTACACTCCCAACACCTCTACCTCCCTACACCCTACCCCTCCCCTCATACTCTCCCACACCCTTACCCTCCCCACACCTCTACCCTCCCCTACATACTCTCCCCAACACCTCTACTCTCCCCCTACACCCCACCTCCCTACATACTCCTCCCCCTACCTCCCTACACCTCTACCCTCCCCTCACCTCCCCAACACCTATACCCTCCCACACCTCTACCCTACACCTCTACCCTCCCACTCTCCCCCAACACCCTACTCTCCCTGACACCTCTACTCCCTCCCTACATACTCTCCCAACACCTCACCTCCCTACACCTCTACCCTCCCCTACACTCTCCCAACACCTCTACTCCTCCCCTACACCCTACCCCTCCCCTACATACTCCCAACACCCTACTCTCCCCTACACCTCTACCCTCCCCTACATACTCTCCCCAACACCTTTACCCTCCCTACACTCCCCTACCCTCCCCTACGTACTCCCCTACACCTTTACCCCTCCCTACACCTCTACCTCCCTACATACTCTCCCCAACACCTCTACCTCCCTACACCTCTACCTCCCTACATACTCTCCCCAACACCCTACTCTCCCCTACACCTCTACCTCCCTACATACCTCCCCAACACCTTTACCCTCCCGTACACCTCCTACCCTCCCTCATACTCTCCCCTACACCTCTACCCTCCCCTACACCTCTACCCCTCCCTACACCCCACCTCCCTCTCACCCTACCCTCCCTACACTCTCCCCCTACACCTCTACCTCCCCTACATACTCCTCCCCCAACACCTCTACCCTCCGCCACACCCCCACCTCCCCTACATACTCTCCCCAACACCTCTACCCTCCCCTACACCTCTACCTCCCTACATACTCCCAACACCTCTACTCTCCCCTACACCTCTACCCTCCCTACATACCTCCCCTACACCTCTACCCTCCCTACATACTCCCAACACCCTACTCTCCCCTACACCTCTACCTCCCCAACACCTCTACCCTCCCCTACACCTCTACTCCCTACACCTCTACCCTCCCCCTACATCTCCCAACACCCTACTCTCCCCACACTCTACCCTCCCCTACATACCTCCCCCAACACCTCACCCTCCCTACACCCCACCCTCCCCCTACATACCTCCCCTACACCCCACCCCTATCCTACATACTCTCCCCAACACCTCTACGCTCCCCTAAACCCTACCCCTCCCTACATACTCTCCCCAACACCCTACCTCCCCCACACCCCTCAACTCCCCCTACATACTCTTCCCAACACCTCTACCTCCCCTACACCTCAACCTCCCCTACATACTCTCCCAACACCCTACTCCCTCACCCTACCCTCCCTACATACCTCCCAACACCCTACTCTCCCTACACCTCTACCCTCCCTACATACTCTTCCCAACACCTCTACTCTCCCTACACCTCTACCCTCCCTACATACTCTCCCCAACACCTCTACTCTCCCACACCCCACCCTCCCCACATACTGTCCCCAACACCTCTACCTCCCCTACACCTCTACCTCCCCTACATACTCTCCCCAACACCTCTACCTCCCCAACACCCTCTCCCTACACCTCTACCTCCCCTACATACTCTCCCCAACACCTCTACTCTCCCCAACACCTCTACTCTCCCTACACCCACCTCCCTACATACTCCCCAACACCTCTACTCCTCCCCTACACCTCTACCCTCCCCTACACCTCTACCCTCCCCTACACTCCCCAACACCTCTACCTCCCCTACACCTCTACCTCCCCTACATATCTTCCAACACCTCTACTCTCCCCTACACCTCTACCCTCCCTACATACTCCCAACACTTCTTCTCTCCCTACACCTCTACCATCCCCTACATATTCCCAACACCTTTCTCTCCCCTACACCTCTACCCTCCCCACATACTCCCCCCAACACCCTTCTCCCCCAACCTCCCACCCTCCCCTACATGCTCTCCCTACACCCCACCTCCCCTACATACTCTCCCCCAACACCTCTCTCTCCCCCACCTCTACCTCCCCTACATACTCTCCCCCAACACCTCTACTCTCCCTACACCTCTACGCTCCCCTACATACCTCCCAACACCTCTACTCTCCCCTACACCTCTACCTCCCCTACATACTCTCCCCAACACCTCTACCTCCCTACACCTCTACCCTCCCCCATACCTCCCCCAACACCCTACTCTCCCCTACACCCTACCCTCCCTACATACCTCCCAACACCCTCCTCCCCTACACTCTACCCCTCCCCACATACCCCAACACTCTCTCTCTCCCTTACACCTCTACCCTCCCCTACATACTCTCTCCCCAACACCTCTTCTCTCCCCCTACACCTCTACCCTCCCTACATACTCTCCCCAACACCTCTTCTCTCCCCAACACCCCTACCCTCCCCTACATACTCTCCACTACACCTCCTCTACTCTCCCCTACACCTCTACTCTCTCCTACACCTCTACTCTCCCCAACACCCCACCTCCCCTACATACTCCCCAACACCTCTACTCCCCAACACCTCTACTCTCCCCTATACCTCTACTCTCCCCTACACCTCTACCCTCCCCTACACCTCTACCCTCCCCTACACCTCTACCCTCCCCTACATACTCTCCCCAACACCTCCATCCTCCACCATCTGACAGTTAAATCTTTTTCTTTCAAGAATTATTTCGTTTCCACATCTTGTTTCTCTTCTTCTTATTTCTTTCTCACCCCTTGTCTATTGTGTCGCTTGTTCATGACACACACACACACACTGGTGACTCAATAATTCTCTTTACATCCCCAACTTCTCCTCCCATGACACAGTTCACACACTCTCCGCCCATCCTTCACTCCACGCTTCCCCGTAATGCAAGTCAACATTCACCAGTCAAGGTTGTGACACACTCACTCCCAGGTATCTGAAACAATTCATTGACTACATTCTGTTTCCCTAACATTACTTCTCTCTGTCTCCCTTCTTAATTATTTTCATGACATGACTTTGGTTTATACTCCTACTTCATCTCTCTCAAACTCATTCACTAACATTTGTAACTTTTCTTCTGAGTCGCCCACGAGAGTAGCGTCACCCCAAACAGCACCTGACTGCCTGCCCATATACAGTACATCCCATTATTATTGACCAAACATGTACTGTACTTATTACAGTATATTTTTGTTGGTAAGTAAGTCAGCCAGTAGAGGTTTCCACTAATCTGCCTCTGTCTGTTACAGACTCACAGACGTCCAGAAGCGCCTGAACGAGGAGACTTTAAAACACGCCCGTTATGCTATGCTCGGCGCCCCTGAGGTACTCCAGCTCAACGCCAACATCATGAAGACAATGGGAGCCAAGAAGGTCACTGTGCAAATAGCTTTTGAATTAAGTTTATTATTGATGAACCAAGATATAAATTTTATCAGATGTAAAAGCTGTTGAAAAAAATTTGTGACATTTACTTAATAATGAAAATATTACTGTGAGGATGTATGGTGTAGTGGCAAGGTGTGGATAAGTCAGTGTTTGGTTAAATTACATTGAGTTTATATTGTGTTGGAAGAGGTAAATAGACCAGAGCACCACTGTTATGATACTTATTAATATGTTACAGGTGTTGGATGTGGGGGTGTTTACTGGTTCCAGCAGCCTCTCAGCTGCCTTAGCCATTCCTCCTGACGGGGAAGTTCACGCTCTAGACATCAGCGAGGAGTACACCTCCATCGGTAAGATGTGTGGCTCGTGGCTGAGTGTTGGGGGGTGGGGGGGGGGCTTTAGGTAGTGTTAGTGTTTGTAATAACATTATGGACTAGGTTGTTGCCGCCCCCCGATTTTTTTTTACCTTTTTCTGCGATGTTCAAACCTTTATGGCGAGTAGAAATCTTCACTTGTTGAAGGTATGGTGAAAAAAAGTCTGAAATACTAATACTCAACTACTGTTCTTTCGTTATATTAGTGATGTCTTCTCAAGTTTTGAAATGCATAAAATCCTAAATATTGTATTATATAAATTACCATCAGAATACAGCTCACGTGATCAGACACATAACAAGTACTTCTGATACAATGCTCATATTTATGGGACCTTTAGAAATGATGTAAAGACAAGTATCTCAATATCTGTCATCTGTCACAGGCAAGAAGTACTGGAGCGAGGCTGGGGTGTCCCACAAGATACACCTACACATCGCCCCTGCCAGCAACACCCTCCAGAAGTTCATTGACGAGGGCCAGGCTGGCACCTTCGACTATGTCTTCATCGATGCCGACAAGCCCAACTATGACAACTATTACGAACAGTGTATGATACTTGTGCATGCAGGAGGCGTCATCACCTTCGATAACACACTCTGGGATGGAAGTGTGTTGGACCTCAGTGATCAGACGGCAGACACTGTGGCGCTCAGGAAGTTAAACGTTAAACTCAGGGACGACCAGCGCATAGACATTTCTTTCCTGAACATTGGTGACGGGTTTACCATGTGCTTTAAGAAGTAATGTCACGAGTACATCAATAGATAAAGTTTTTTAAATGTCTTATAAATATTATTAAGAGGTACAAAGTTTCATATTCCTTTCCTTCGGCTCAAAGTTTGTTACGAGATGTACTGTTGGGGTCGGGGAATATTTGTTGTTTTTAAGTTTGGAGAGGTTGAGGGTGTACCGTACTGTAGAATGTAAAAGATGATTAGTGTTGGTACTGTGATTGAAGGGTTTGTAATGTGATATTATATTTGGTCCAGTTACTAAAATATATCACAGTTTACTTTCACCTGTAGAATAAATATAAATCTTAAAATGATTAATAGTGATATTTTTACTGGAGTCAACCTTGTATTATTTATTTTTTAAGACATGAAAACTATTTTGCTCACGAAGATTTCATCTGAGTATCATCCTGTAGTGGACGTCTCCCCTACAACTGCGTAGCCGCATTCCACCTGCTACGTCTTCCCTAGCAACCAAACTAGCGGCCCAAGGGGGGGGGGGCGTCACCAGATGCCACAGTATCCTAGCAACAGAGTCAAAAGACCGGCGACTTCCCGGGGTTTCCCACGGGTGACTCATGGGTGACTCACGGCTGCTGTGTATATAAGCTCTGTCTCTCCATTGAGATTCATTCTGGCCTCTCTTCTTGAACACGCAACACCTCCTCCAAGCAAGCTCCTCGCTGTCCCGTTCTCATTCAAACTGGAGGCCAGCAACAGGCAACATCTTCTCTAACGAAGCTCCTGCACATCTACCTCCTTCAGCACGCTACTCACCGAATATGTCTACTGAGCAGCTCCTCACCACACGGTACCTCCAGCACCAGACTGTCTACCATATAACTTATATTATATAAGAAAACCACCTTAGAGTTTCCATCCATCCTGAGTGCTAGACAACATTATATCACGAAACCCTACAAATGGTGACCCCCGGAAAAAAGCACTCACACAGGATGGAGGACGGACGGATCTCTCTGCCGACTTTCAACCACAACGTCGAGGACTGGCTAGATCATGTGGAAGCAGCCCTCGTCGGCTCACAAGCGACTGACGAGCAAAAGTATAGCACCCTGCTCTGTGCCTTACCCACGGAAGTGGCCACGCGGGTCTCACAAACCATTTCCAACCCTCCAGATGACAACAAATTCGCTACCCTGCGGGATGCCTTGAAGACGTGTTATCAACAGACCAGCCCCAATCTCCTGCAAGATCTATCCTCTATCTCCCTCGGGAACTGAACCCCGGGTCGTCTCTGGGAGGAGATGTGTCGGCTGAACTCCCGTCAGCTTCACGCACAAAAGCTACTCGCAGAAGTACGCAACATCCTGTCCGCAGTAGATTACTCTACGACACCAGAACTATATGCAACCGCGGCAGACAGAATTTTCAACGAGTGCGCTGCTGCACCCCTTGCCGCCACGGTCACACCAGTACCTACCACCGAACTTGTAAGCCGGGTCAACACCCCTCAGCCGAGCAATACCTCACAAGACATCAAGGACCTGTTGCAAACTTTGAACCGCAGGATGGACACCATTGAGCAGTTCTGCTCCTCCATACCCACTGCTGCGCCAGTTCCTGACTCACGCACCACGCCCTACAAGTTCCGACGCACAGCAGCCAGCCCCCAGCACAACAAATTTACCCTCTGCTGGCATCACCAGACTTTCGGCCGCAATGCTCGAAACTGTGAGCCCAATTGCACCTATTCGGGAAACGGCAACACCGGAGGCTGGTAGACGCCTCAGCCTCCGTCCCTCCAGGCGTCTCATTACTGCGCGTCACCGACCGCACCTCCGGCAAGAAGTTCCTCATCGACACAGGTTCATCGGTCAGCCTCATCCCTCCCTCACTACAAGACAAGTCAAAGCAACCCTCTTATGACCTGTTCGCTGCCAACGGTACCTCCATCGCCTCCTACGGCGTACGCACCCTCGCCTTAGACCTCGGTCTGCCCAAGACTCTGCGTTGGTTATTCGTGATAGCAGACGTGTCTCAACCCATCCTTGGTTTCGACTTCCTCACCTTCCACAAGCTCGACGTCAAACCAAGTCATCTATGCCTCATCCATGAGCCTACAGCACGCAAGATCCAGGGTTTTCGTGCCAGACACACCGACACTATCACCTGTCTTGCGCCTTCCAACAAGTTCTCCTCCCTGCTTGACGAATTCAAGGAGCTTTTCTCACCCCGAGTCTCCCTACCCCCACCACCTACATCAGGAATTTTCCACCACATCGAAACCAAAGGACCATCAGTCTTTTCACGCCCTCGCCGCCTGCGCCCTGAGCTCCTGAAAACAGCCAAAGTAGAATTCAACAAACTACTGCAAGACGGCATCATTCGCCCTTCAAGGAGTCCCTGGGCATCGCCTCTTCACATGGTTCCTAAGCAAACACCCGGCGAGTGGAGGGTGTGTGGCGACTACAGAGCCCTGAATCTCGTCACCAAACCTGACAGGTACCCGATTCCGCATGTCCAGGACTTTCACCACAAACTTCATGGCAAGACTATCTTCTCGAAGATCGACTTGGAGTGTGCCTTCCACCAGATCCCAGTAGCACCGGCAGATACCCAGAAGACAGCCATCACCACTCCGTTTGGACTCTTCGAGTACACTTTCATGAGTTTTGGCTTACGCAATGCAGCACAGACTTTCCAGAGGTACATGGACCATATGCTTCGCGACCTCGATTTTGTCACAGTCTACATTGACGACATCCTCGTCGCATCTTCGACGCCTGCCGAGCACCGCCACCACCTACAACTCCTTCTCCAACGCCTGCAGAACAACAACATGAAAGTTCATCCTGCTAAGTGCGTCTTTGGAACCTCGGCCATCGATTTCCTCGGTCACAGAGTCTCGCCCAGTGGCATACAACCCCTACCACAGAAGATAACTGCGATTAGGGAGTTCCCCAAACCTGAAACGGCGAAGAAACTCCGAGAATTCCTGGGTTTAGTCAACTACTACCACCGCTTCATTGACAAAGCTGCCACCGTCCTAGCCCCCCTACACGACCTTCTCAAGGGACGCCCAAAGAAGTCTCACAAGTCTCTCGTGTGGACTCAAGAGGCTACTACGGCATTCACCACTATCAAACAGCACATTACACGCCTCACCCTCCTGGCCCACCCCGCACCTAACGCCCGGACCACTCTCACAACAGACGCTTCTTCTACTGCAGTGGGCGCCGTCTTACAGCAGGAGATCAACGGAATTCTCATGCCCGTTGCTTTCTTCTCACAACGGCTTCAACCACCACACCTCAAGTACAGCGCTTTTGATCGAGAACTCCTGGCCATATACTTGGCTGTCAGACATTTCCAGCACTTCCTCGAGGCCCGTCAGTTCACCATCTTCACTGATCACAAGCCCCTCGTCCACGCCTTCGCTTCAGCTTCCCAGTCACATACACCTCGTGTCCTGCGCCACTTGGCTTACATCTCGGAGTTCTCCAGCGACGTCCAACACATTAAAGGCAGCCACAACGAGATCGCCGACGCCCTCTCTCGTTGTATATCCACCATTCTTCCCTCATCTCCACCCATTGATTATTGGCAGCTAGCCGCGGCTCAAGAGAAAGACGAAGACCTGGCAGCATACAAGACATCCCCCTCAGGCCTCACACTCCAAGAACTCCCTGTTCCTGGCACAAAGATAAAATTGTGGTGTGACGTATACTGTGGACAGCCTAGACCGTTCGTGCCTCACGTCCACCGCCGCGCTGTTTTCGACCGCATCCATGGTCTCAGCCACCCGGGTGTGCGGGCCTCCCAGCGCCTCCTCACGCAACGTGTCGTCTGGCCCGGCATCAAGTCTGATACTAAGAAATGGGCTGCCCAGTGCCTGGCCTGCCAGTCCTCCAAAATACATCGTCACATACGGGCCCCCTTACAAGCCTTCCTATTCCCAAAGGACGTTTTCAAGTAGTACACCTCGACATCGTGGGACCTCTACCATCATCCTACGGTAGCACCTACATCTTCACCTGCATCGACCGTTTCACCAGGTGGACAGAAGCAATTCCCATGCCCAATGCTACAGCAGAGACTACTGTCCGCGCCTTCATGTCCGGTTGGGTTTCCCGTTTTGGCCCCCCCGCAACCGTAATCACTGACCGAGGAGTACAGTTTGAGTCACAACTCCGGCAGCACCTCCTACAGTTCCTCGGCACGTCTAGACAACGCACTACAGCATACCACCCTCAAGCCAACGGCATGGTAGAGCGTTTTCACCGGCAGCTGAAGGACGCACTCAAGGCACAGCACGACCCTTACAGCTGGACTGATGCGCTTCCCTTAGTGCTCCTCGGCATCCGTGCGTCACACAAGGAGGATATGGACTGCAGCCCAGCAGATCTGACACTAGGCGAGCCCCTTCGGCTACCCGGGGATTTCTCACTTCCTCCTGATCCCAACCAAACCACTCCAGCCGTTCGTCACGACTTACTCCAAAAGCTATGACAAGCAGTTTCTGCATTCAGAGCTACTGCTCCACGCCAGCCTCCTCGGCGCCTTGAACACATCCCTCCTGCACTAATCACAGCCGAGTATGTTTTCGTCAGGCATGATGCTCACAGCAACCCATTACAACGCCCCTACGATGGACCCTTCCAGGTGGTTACCCGTTCAGCAAAGTTCCTGACGATTATCCGGAATGGCAGACATGACACCATCAGCATAGACCGAGTCAAACCGGCCACCTTACCCGTCGGGCCCCCAGCCCAGCAGCACCATCAACAAACTACGCCTGCACCAGTCTACCCGCAGTTACCACCGGCAGCAACACCACGCCCACGACATTTCTGGGCACCCTCTTTTCACCCTCATGTACACCCTGTTCCTGCTGTAGAACCTGCTCCTGTCATAGACCCTCCTCCTGTCATAGAACCTGAACCTATAATAGACCTCCCTCCTGTCATAGAACCTGCTCCTGCCATGGACCCTCCTCCTGACGCAGCCCCTGCAGCAGCAGGAGCACAACAACCATTGCTTGTACAACCTCCTCTAATCCCAAACCCTCTTTCTCCTCCTAATTCTCCCACAGGTTTTGTGTCACTAGACGGAGTTGTTACACGTATCGGCCGAGTCGTACGTACACCTGCCCGGTATGTGTTATGTGTGGGACACAACCCGGACAACATCCAGCCTCCCGCCGCGCCGGGAGGGGAGGGGGAGTATTGTAGTGGACGTCTCCCCTACAACTGCGTAGCCGCATTCCACCTGCTACGTCTTCCCTAGCAACCAAATTAGCGGCCCAAGGGGGGGGCGTCACCAGATGCCACAGTATCCTAGCAACGGAGTCAAAAGAC